ATAATTGATTTTTAATATCTCGACACAAAGTGAGGACCAGATAAATGCAATATTTTAGTACAAAAACTCAGCGCGTTGCTTTTGCCAAAAAACCACTGTGGCATCCAAATCGAAAGTAAAAGTGGATTATGTATTTCGTAGTGATCTGCAGCCGGCAAAAAAGTGAATGTGTGTTACGCACTCTTTTATTGTTTTCACGCCCACCCTGAGCTAAAAACAAATTCCCAAGCTCCGGCCTTTTTTGTTTTCTAAAGAATTGTTAAAAATAGTCAGCGCGCTGCACTGCAAGTAGATAAGAAAAATAGAGAAATCAAAATCAATTGAATAATCAATTAGAAACATAACAGATGTTTCTCTTTGTTGTTACCCGTGTTACCCACCATGTGCACCAACTCTAACAGCCGAATTGCCAATCACGCGATGCACTCAATGTACTATGGAAGCAGTGCTTCGGTCGATCAGACCAACAAAGTTGCAAAACGTAAAAGTAACTCTTACACAATATTGCTCCACTATGCCACAGACATTTTAGATTTTTTTTTCTTGGTCAAACAATTCTCAAAAGCGTTGATTTTTGCCAATTATGAGCGATTTTCAAACATAAGTTTGTGTTTATTTTTTAACATTTCCTCATTCCTATATCCTTTGTCTGCACACTCATTGGTCTCTATATTCTTTGTTATCCTTTATATCTCGCTCATTACACAGCGCTACTGCTGATTCTGTTCCTTTTTCCAATCAGAATGCAAACGTGCAACAACTCACATCGGCCATAATTCGCGAACCAACTGAAAGAACAAATTTTACAGCACCATGAAGAAGAGTAGTGTGAAAATTTTTATTTGCGCTCAATGCGATATGTGTAAAGACAGCAGTGAGAATGCGAAAACTATATGTGCGGACTTGAAATTTTTAGGCTCTTCCAGTACCCTGCGACATCTATAGGCTAGTAGCTGGCATTTGGTTGCTAATGTTACCACACTTCAAAAAAGAAAAGTGTTGCATATGATAATTCACTAGTGGTATTTACCCAAAGAACGTAAATCTATAAGAAGAGACAACACGTTATAATTGTAACGAGTGGGAACATCAGGAGCGTGCTTTCTCTTTTGCCCAAATACGTTTTGTGATTGGATGAAAAAAGACGGCACGCTCCTCATGTTCACACTCGCTACAATTATAACGTGTTGTCTCCTCTTATAGATTTACGTTCTTTGATTTACCCAATCCATCATTAAAAGCGGAGCACTTACTACTTCATCACTCCGCTTTTTACCGCCTTTTTAAGGCTTTTTTGAGGTTAGGTTTTTATGGGTGGTATGCTTTGAAATAAACCGATTACGCCCAATTTTTGAGGGTTCACACATAACTTTATTAAAAATATATGGACGCGATTTCGGAGTGATATATTCATTGCTGTGCTTTTTAGGGCATTTTAAGGCATTTTTGAGGTCAGGTTTGTATTTGAGGTACGCTTTAAAATAAATCGATTACGTCCATTTTTTCAATTCATATACATACAACGTTATTATAAACATATAGACAATATTTCAAACTTATATATTCGTCGGTGCACTTTTTATAATGCATATGGAAATAATGCATATGGCAAAAACCGAAATAAAGCATACATGCACAGTTTCGGTTGAAACCGAAATAATGTCTAAATGCACAGTTTCCATATGCGCAATTTCGGTGCCCCTATTTTTAAGACATTTTTGAGGTTAGGTTTATATGGGACCTCGCTGCTTTAAAATAAATTGATCGCCGAAAATTTTTCCTTTTTTTATTTATGCCCATACATTAAATTTTTCAAAATGATACATACGGTAAATTGAGGTTCTACGCCATTCCTTCTAATTTTTTTCCGAAAAATGTATATGGCTTTTTATAAGTTTTAGGAAGTTTTAGCTATTTTTCTTTAGTTTATTTAATGTTTATTATTTTTCTATGCAAGTATAGCTGATTACTTAGCGAGCACCATATAAATCTCAATTTCAGACTTCGTGCGAAAATCTGCAAAGTTTCTAACTTTTTAATCAATACCTTTAGAATCTTAGTTGCAGTTTTGTAGCTCATCAAATTTCAGAATAATAAAGTGCAAACTTGAAGTAGCTAGGACTTACCGTTGATTTTTGGTATTTTATTTTTATTTTTTGTTTCTTTGATGCACTTCCATTCTTAGGGCCGGTTACTCAACGTCTGGTTAACACTAAACTGCGGTTAAACATCGTTGTCAACGTCCATGCATATAACAGGGAGTCCGTAACGTCGATAACCATGTTTAACCAAAGATTATTGTTAACCAGACATAGAGTAACCGGCCCTTAGTTCCGGTTTCTGTAGGGACTAAAGCCGTCATCGATTCGCCACTTCTCTGCTAGCCATGTGTCCCTTAACGAAAAATTTTGCATGTGAAAGCAACTACGAAGTTAGCTAGCAAGGATGGATTGGTTGTACCTCATTGAGTTCGTTCGTTTCGCCACTCGCTCGCCACTGTTGGCAAATCGATGACGGCTTAATTTTCCAAAATTTTTGTAACTTATACGCCGTGGTGGCTACGAATTCACAGTATAACGTCGCTTGATGTAACTTTATGCTACTTTTAAGTTATATATTTTCAAAATAATAATTTTATATTATATTTATATAAATAATTATGTAAGCGCTTCTGTGTGTATATGT